GTGTATTTCTTTGACTGGCTGTGGTTCCAGGGACAAAGTGTGTTTCTTTGGCTATGGTTTCAGGGTCAGGGTGTGTTTCCTTGGTTCTGGTTTCAGGACTAAAGTGATTCTTTCACTGGCTTGGGTTTCAGGGCCAGGGTTTTTTTCTTTCACTGGCTCTGGTTTCAGGGCCAGGGTTGGTTTCTACAAGTGAGCTTTTCCAGAGTTCTGTACATAACAAGTCTTGGTCCTGGCACTCCTCTCTACTGATCAGAAAGAAAAACAAGCTCATAATGTTTGTGGGAAATTCTGACTGATTCAGGTTATCCCTATGAGGAGAAGCAAGAGGTCTCAGAGCAGGCACACACAGACAGACATGAGTGACCCTGGGAGCTTTCCAACAACAATCTAATAGCAATTGCTTGGGAAAACAGTGCTGTCATCCCATGGCATTTGATTTCTCTGGTTTCAAGGATTGTGAACTGAACCTGCTGTCTAAGCTTCCTTTATTCATGCAGGCGGCTTCTCTCTCCCTGGAATGATGTCTACCCAAGACTGTCACAGCATTCAGAAGGTTGATAACTACTGCCAATGATGGTCTTGGTGACATGCAGATTCCTGAGCTTTGGCCTAGACACTTTGGCCAGGCCAATAATATAATAAGCCTTCTCTGCACACTGTTCACTTTATCAGTAAGACTCCAGTGAGCCAGGCCCACGTGAATCTCCTCTAGGAAGTATCCAAGATGCTTATGACTGCATGTAAGCTTGGAGAGCATCCCTGACTTAGACTGAAGGCTTTCATGTCCAAAGGCCCAGCAATTGTCTCCAAGGCCTTGACTCTCTTGTGTGGCTAGTCAGGGTTGTGCCTGCTGCAGGATCTCCAGGCTGGTCTATCAAATAAGAGGCTTCAGATCCCCAACTGCTACATGTTCTGGGAGACAGAACCGGACAGCACACAAGGCCAAGTCAGGCCATATTTCCACATATTGCTCTGTCAGCTCTCTCTCCACTGTGAAGACAGGCTGTTCTTCATTTTTATTTATTTTATTGTCTTAGGGATTGCCTTAGGGAGGGTCTCTTGTAGCCCAAGCTTGCCACAGACTCCTGATGGTTCTGTTACTACTTGTCTGGTGCTGAGATTCTTGGCATGTCACTACACCACCATGCCTGGTAGCTCATCTTTATTGGATGCTCCCTTCAGTGTTACCCTTTGTGCCTGCTGACACTTATAACCTCCATAATTGTCAGCTGTATGAAAATATTAAGAGAAGAAAAAGAGATTGTTAACGGCTAACAATAATATAAATAGAAGGCAGTAAATGCTAAATGGTAGTGGAATGTGACAGAGAGAGTAGGGAAGGAAGGAGGAAGGACATTGCCTCCCCTCTACTGTCGCAACATTGTCAATGTTTCCTCACTGAGGGTCTCTATCCATTTAGAAAACATTAGAGATGTGTGTGTGTGTATGTGTGTGTGTGTGTGTGTGTGTGTGTGTGTGTGTGTGTGTGTGTGCTTATTGTCATGCACAGATCCAAGTCTTCATCCTTGCTGTATGTGAAATACACCTTCCAGAACATCCAAAGCCTTTAAGGTCCACTCCCTAGCATCATTCTGGCAGCCTCATCTTCTTTCATCCAACATTTGTTTAAAAATCTCGAGGGAAACACGGTTTTCCTTCATCATTTCCCCATAAATGTCTGTGTCACTTGACAAGACTAGGTTGAGAGTTGCCAGGCATGGAATTCTGTTCTCAAAATTTTAATACATTTACTCATCTGTACATTTATATATGTGTTTGCACACATGTGCCAGAGCATGGTTGTGGGTCAATGGACAAGTTGCAGCCATGAGTTCTCTACTCTCACCATGTTCATCCCAGGGTCATACTCAGGCGTGCTACTTCTGTGGATTCCGTGACTCTGGGTGGAGTATAGACAGCTCACAGCTAAGAGGAATGTGGATGACAACAGAAGGCAGAGGTGGCGACCTGGACCAAATTTGAATCATACAGAACATATCATCCTCATTAGAAGAGTTCATCAGCACCAATGAGGCATGGGCAAGCCATAGAGACTGTCTTGACATTCACCACAACATATGGGCTCTTGGAGAGAATAAGAAAGAGACAATAAATAATTGTTAGCCAGGCATCTATAGAAGATGTGTTGGGGGCATTTTGGAGTAGCAAAGGTCTTAGAAAACCTACAAATTCAAGATGACCACATACTCTTAATCTGTTTTTCTCATAAAGATTTAATATTGGCTTATTTATTTCTATGGTTCCTGTTGCCAAAATAAAATAAGAAAAAGTCCAAAATTACTCAAATGGAACACATAGTAATATATTGATAAGAGTGCATCAGATGGAGATATTCTAGCATAAATGAGAAATGGGAAGACAGTTGTCTTAGTTTCAGTGGGTCAAGACTTGGCATCCCCAAATACATGCAACTCAGAGAACAATTTCTGGCAGATTTTTTTATTCTTTCTATCAATAAGGTGGGTCCCAGGGATAGAAATGCATGTCTCCAGGCTTGTCTGCATCACCTTTACCTGCTTAGACATTTTCCAGTCCATCATCAAAGCCACAGATTTTAATAAGCTACATATCTTTGTATATGGTCTCTGTGTATATCTATCCTAATTTGGAAATATTTATCCTCAAAATGAATGTTTTCCACAGTTAATGAAGGGCAAGAATCAGAGTTGGGAGAATTTTAAATCTTCTACGATAACTAACAGTTTGATGTATTTCACTTCATAGGATGCAACAGGTTGAATTTTCCATCCCCGTCATAAATAATGTACTAATTTTGAACCTACTATATTGCACGTGCTAGGGAAGTATTCTGTCTCCAAGTTGTATTCCTGGCTTGTAACTCCATTCATCTGCTACAGCTACTACAGGGCAGACATCAAGATGAGCTTTAAATGTCAAATTAGCCCTCATAAGAATGACCATGTGAGTAGCTGACAGAATGTTTTGAAGACTAGGCATGCTTATCTGAGATAGAAGAAGCACCCCAGTAAACATTACACACTCTACACAGTTTAGTATGAGAAAGGATGATAGTAAACTGTTATCTCCCTCCAAAATGCAAGGAGAAGAAACCGTGTTAATCTATCTGTAGAATTTATCAAAAGAACCAAAGCTATGCTGAGGATTCACATGGAGGTAAGGCATGACTGAACACAGGCTACTTACCAATACTGGAAAGATGGACAGGGAAACACATGCTGCAGTTCAGTGATTGGTAGTGTAGGATGAATGAAGTCTCAGCTGGTTCCAGTGTGTCTACAGGTATTATGTCAGAGTCAGTGAAGAATGAGAAAGTGACAGATGAAAGGAAGGAACTGAAGTGAACCACCTGCTTCTCTGGCTTTAGAGATCTTAAAAGCTATGGTTTGAGAGACACAGACTTGAATTTACAAGGATAATTGCTTCACATATTAACTCTCTAACTTACTGTGAGTCTCAGCTCAGATCCATTCCAGGAGAACTTCAGAAGAATAAAGCCCACATCTGAAAGAAACCTTTCCTCAATACACTGTGACTTCTGCTGTGGCGAAAGTGCAGCATCAACCATCCCTCTCCCTTTCAAGCCTTGCAGAGATACACTCTCGACCAGAGGCATGTGGCTTTTGCTGCAGATACCATCCACCCAGACAAATGTGAAGTTTCCACTTAACACTGCTTAGCTGGTGCATCACAGGTATATCTTACCCCATCTCCATCCCTAGGCGGGTCTTAAAAGTCTGCATTTCATCTGATGGGCCTACTCTGCATTGTCATCTAAATGAGAGGTGACATAACTGCTCCAACTCTGACTTAAGAGATGCTGAGCAATGATCCTGAACCCAGGAGCACTCTGCTTGAATGCCTGGCATCCCAAGTAATCTCCCATGCCTACCTCATGGTCCTGTCCCTACAGTTCTCCAGAAATATCTCTCTTCGGTTAGGTGTAATCCAGTCCAAGTAATGCACTAGAGAGACTAGAAGGACAAAAGTCAAGTGCAGGGACTGGAGAGATCACTCATCCTTTAAGAGGATGTGTAGCTCTCCCAGAGGACCCAGAAATCAGCTAATAAACTTCTGTGACTCCAGTTCCGTGTGGAATCCATTGCCCTTTCTGGCTTCAGTGCAAACTGATTGCTTGTGGTGCATAGAAAACAGACAAAATACCCATATACATAAATACAAGTAAATGAATCTCAAAAATTTCAATGCAATATGAATGGTCAAGGCAATAGCACATTAAAAAGACCACATCTCAATATGTCTTAGAAGGTTACTACCCCTGCATTGCCACTGTCACTGGTGCTGTATTTCAGGAAAAGAAAGGCAGAGAGCTATAGGTTTCCTCATTTCTTCTATACTCCTGTAACGAATGTTCTCACTTCCTGAGATGCATTAGAAAACATAGGTGTATTTCTAAAAATCTGATATGAATGATCATGTCATGAACATGTGTGTATCTATTCTCCGTTTTTTGAAGTAGCTAGACATGTGAAGTCAGGTGTTTTATATGGATCTTTTTCCATCATGAAGTGGATATTCATGGAGTAGGCCATGCGATTCACACCCAAGATACCATCTTGGTTTGTAACCCTGTCTAGCTGAGAACTCACAATGTAGCCTAAGCTTCCTGGGACTTGACGAGATTCACCTCTGTCTGTTGAGTTCTAATGTTACCACAACTGACTACAAAGCTACTTTCAGAATGAAGAGAATGTACCAGGTTTATCTGTCCCCTATGGGAGAACTTACCCTTTTGGAGGAGGGCAGGAGGGGTGGGGGAATGTGGTAGGCAGGAGAGGGAGGAGCAATGAGAGTTGGATCTGTGGTTGGAAAGTAAAGTCAATAAAAATTTAAAGGAAAGAATGAAGAGTTGGAAATTTTTTTATTTGTGAAATTACAGAAATTTGACTGAATAGGGCCTTAAAGGGGTGTTTAGTATATCCAATGTATAGCTTTAGCAAAATATAAAATCAAAGAAAGAACAAACAACCAAAAAATAAAAAAAAACAGCAAAACAAAACAAAGAACAACAAAACCTAAATTCATGTAAACCCCAAAACAAACCAAAACTATTTACATAAGAAGCTTTCTCTTCATGCAGATATCCTGCAGTCTGTGGCTGGCTTTGGATAGAAGTTGGAAGACAACCCTGAATTGAAATACCCTCTTCAAGACCAGTGTAGTCATGGCACTTTGGGACTTCTAGGTTAAGTCCTTGCCAAAGTTGATCTTATGTCATGTTGGCCATTATATGATTCTGTCTGCCAACATGTGTCTGTGTGCCCATTCAAGAGCAAAAAAGGACATGGGGAGCATCTGTTACCAAAAGACATAACAGCTCATGGTGACATCCTTCCTAAATCATCTCTCAGAACAATTCATTTCACCATCACCTGTGCATGAAATTGAGTAGTTCCCACACTGGACTGGAGTGAGAATATGATGTTTCCTTTGTGTGGTCTGTCTGGATAGCAGCATGACATCAACACAGTCTCTGTTGACATATCTCCCTCCACATATGAAGGGCTCAACACTCAGTCAGCTACCAAAAGTTTGTAGCAATAAACTTTCAGAGTAACTATGAGTGGAAACATATTCTCTCTCCATGTTGTTGTGGCCCTCACTGGGAACACTTGCTGGTAGATGTCAGCTTTTTCTGCATAACTCTTGGTGTTTATTTTTTTGAATCTCAAGCATGTTCTTGATGGTTTCTTTATTCCATAACTAGTGAGTCAACAGACACATGGATCAGATTATGGATGGATGATCTTCAGGGCAGATGATATTTGCCTCACTGGTGATTTCACAACTAGTAGTACATGTCTTGTTCTGAGGAGGCCTTGATCATAGAGTGGAGAATGTCAGGGTTTCTAGTTGACTATGGATTCCTTCAGCCTCCTCAGTTCTCAAAAAGGGTGCTGTGAGAGAAGAAAAGGCAATCAGATCTAAAAACAGCCTTGCTAGGTCACTAGCTAGATAAATTCTGGGCCTATTCACACATAGGAAACCAGAATCAAGGAAGAACTCCACCCCACAAATGCCGAGTTTCTGGGGATGGGATGTCATGATGGCTCACTTGCTTATGACACTTAGTGCTCCTGCTGCAGCAGCTCTGTCGGCAGGAGGCTCTCATCCTGACATGTGGATTGTTCCAGCTCATGTTGGAGATTTTCTGACCTAGAGGAGGAAGTTAGTAAGGGCAGAGTCCTGGTGGGGATCCACCACGTCACCTGTCATTCAGTGATATCACAAAAACTCAATTGTGCTGGACAGTCAACACTGATATTTGGCAGCAGTCATTGTATGTACACCTAAGGAATAAGTGTCACAGAATAGTTGGGCCTTGAATTATTTTCTGCCCTAAAGAAGTATCAGATGTTGATATGAGTACTATATGAACTGTGCTCTAATGAGAAAGACCTGGACTTTTTCATACAGTATAGCGACATCATTTAAATAAAAGGAGTAGCATATTAAAGTCATATATAATAGCACAATGGAGATACACAGACTGTTCATGATGAGGTTCTCATCAAATACCTCATTTTTTCTTGTCCAATTTCTGTTTATTTCTTTCTAGGCAGGGTTACAATATGCAACTCTGGCTGACTAGATAGATATTCTAGGATGGCTACAAGAGGCCAGAGATTTCCTGCCTGTGCTCCCAAAGTGCTTGGATTAAAGACATGAACAATGACATACACCTGTCCTTATGCCTGATTTTAATTGATATTATTTTATTTTCCTCTCCATGTTGTATAATGCTGTCACAGGTTTGATAGAGAAAACCTTACAATTCCAGCTGTATTCCTTCTTTTCTCTTTTAGAGGGATTACATGAGTAAGGGTGGTAAATATCATGATGAGGATATCTACAGAAACAACTGAACCAAGCTCAAAAGAAGTCAGGAAATTTAGACTGACAGTTGTGAACTTCTACATATGGGTGATAGTTGTAGAGGTGGTTGTGTTTGAAGGGCCCCTGGCAGTGGGATCAGGATCTATTCCTGGAGCATGAGCTGTCTTTCTGGATCCCATTACCTATGGTCAGACACCTTGCTCTTGCTTGATAAAGTGGGGAGGGGCTTGGTCCTGCCTCAACAGAATGTATCAGGCTTAACTCTCCTGCCATGGGAGAACTTACCCTGTTGGAGGAGGAGATGAAGGGTCAGGGAAGAAGGTGAGTGGGGAGTGGGAGGAGGGAAGAAAGGGGAATCTGTGGTTGGTATGGAAAATGAATAAAAAATAATTTTAAATAGACCACCTCACTTTATATACATAGACTTAATACAACCTTGCATCCAGGTAATACACAAGATGGAGCCTCTCATGCTAGAGCAGTATTTCTTGAGCCATGTGTCTGAGAACATTGTCACTACATTGGCTCTGGCATTAAAAAGAAGAGCTGTGTTATCCTTAGGCCTACAACTGGGAATCTACATCCTGGCACTCTAGAGGAGTCTGTTCCACAACACTCGGTGAAGGTTCAGAGACATCTACCTGGGTTCATCCTGCCAATGACTAAACGTATTATATCCCCAGTACACTTTACATGGGAAATGCTCAAACAATGAAGACAGCCAGTGTGACATCAAATAGTGACAAGGGTGCAAATCTCATCCTACAGGTGCTAATCCTGAATAAAAATGTAATTTCAGTCAGATATGGTGAGGCACACCTTTAAATCCCATCACTTGGGAGGCAAAAGCAGTCAGAGCTCTGTGAGTTCAAGGAAAGCCTGCTGAGAACATACCAGAGAGATCAGAAGGGAGTAATGGGACACAAGTGTACAGACAAAGGGAGTATCAAACATATTGTTTGCTGGACAGGAGTTCTTGTTGATGGGACCAGCATAATACTCTGAGTTCTGAGTTGGTCTACCCATTTTGGAGCAGGGAGACTTGCTGATAAGCAAAAGCCCACAAAGGACAGAGAGCCCTGGTACAGAGGACACAATTGGCTCCATACCCCAACTTCAGCCTGGGTTCCTACCTCATCTGGGAGACAGTCAAATGATGCTGCAGCTTTATTGCCAGGTGTTTTTGCTGTGTGACCAGCTCCTTCTGCTTCAGCAAGCTCTGGAGTCTCTCTTCCATTCTTTGCTGCTCCTGTTCATTACAAGATTGTGTCCTTATTGGAGGGCTGAGTAGAGTATAGTCAATACATTCTCACACATGTGCAAGCACACACACAGAATCCCAAGAGCTTATTGGTCAGTCAATCTCACGAAATTTCAAGCTCATGGGCACATGAGAAAGCCTGCTTGAAGTTCATAAGACAGAGACTGACCAAGAGAGAAACCCAGTGGTCTCCTCTAGCTGTCATCCACATGAAATATGCACTGCACTCCCACATGCCTCTATTTTACACACACACACACACACACACACACACACACACACACACACACACACACCACGGAGAGAGAGAGAGTGACAGAGAAAGGGGTGAAATGAAAACAGCAAAGTGATAGAGGAGCAGTTATCTTTAAAATAAGCACACCAGCCTTTAAGCAAAGTTCCAAAACTCAGCTTTCCATTCCTGGGAACTGAGATGGCCTACGAGGGCATACTCTTGAACTAGTGGAGTTTGTTAGAAAAATTGTTACTCTTGAACTCAATTCTATGTATAACAATCCTCCCATCATAATGACATGTAGCTGTGTGATGAGTGATTGACCTGTTTCTCCGCATTGACTACAGGTTCAAGAAGAGTATCAGGGATTGCATGCCAATGACCAAGATTCTCAGAGGAGACTCACTTCTTAGAAATACTAATGCACAAACACAGAATGAACAATTTTATGTCATGAAGTGGGTGGATGGATGGGTGTATGAATGAGGAAAGTGATGAGATAGAGCACAGGTGTCTGGATGGGTAGATTTGGTAAGGTTACATAAGTAAATGATGCTGGACCTAACTGTGACCCAGCTGCCTGTCCCTACCTGCTGTTGCTGGTTCTGGAGGTCACTGATCTCTTCTTGATCCTTACTGAGCACTTGCAAGTCACCCAAGTGGTACTTCACCATGACCCAAAACTCCAGTATGTTCTCCTTCTCTTGCCTCTGCATATCCAATTTCTTTTTGAGCTGACTCTGCTCCATCAGGAGCCGGCTCTGCAGATCACTGGAAACACACTCCAAATAGTAAGACCATGTCAGCCACCTGGTCACCCACAACACCATGCCTCAACAACCCACCCCTAACCCAGGTTCACAGGAAGATGTAAGCAAGAAACTTTAACAGTAATGACAGTTGCACTCAAGGCCAAAAGCAGAGAACAGTTATTTCCTGCAAGAATCAAACTATTTCTGAAACCCCCCCCCCAAATAACAGAAATTCATGCACTTCCATAAACAAGAGCAGTACTCCACCTTTCCTAATCCACTGTCATGAGGAAACGCCAGCAGGTAATGTGCAAGTACACTTGGGGAAGTAGGAGACCCAAAGGGTGCATAGATCCCGTATCAGTCAGCTCCTGCCTAACAACCCTCTCCTGAGGACAATTGCTCATCTAACCAGTGGTTCTCAGTATGTGGGTTGTGAACCCTTTGGGATCTAAGGAGCCTTTCAAAAGGGACACATATTAGATGTCCTATGTAGACATTTACATTAAAATTATTAACAGTGGCAAAATAAACTTAAGACAATGCTACAAAATAATTTTATGGTTTGGGGTCATCAAAACAATGAATCAATGTATTAAAGTATCACAGCCTTAGGAAGGTTAATAACCACTGATCTGGAGGCTACTGAATGACAATATGGTGCTTGGAAGAGCTAGTAGTCTCTTTAAACCTTAGCAAACCTAAGTAAAGAGGCATAAGTCCAAATGCTGCTTGCCAATGCTGCTGGCTAAGAAGCAGAAAAACTAGAAGCACATCTGCAGACCCTGCAGTTCAAACACAAAGAAAATTGGAGTTGGCTGTTTTACAACAGTTGGGGTCCCTGCCAAGATAAGCACTTACCAAAGGAAGACTTTCCCTTTGGTCAGCTCACTGAGCTTCTGTGAGGCCTCCAAATTCTCATTCTCAAACTTCTGCAGGGCTGACATGACCTGCTGATGTTCCATCTTGAGCTTTTCCCAGAAAGGATTTGGCCTGTGGTAGGGCCTGGACCCAGAAACAAAGAATTCCATGAATACAGGCCTCAAGGTTCACATGAATTCAGTGTATGTTCTATATTACTGGAATTAATAAGATGCCACATAATGGCTCCTATGTACTGGGACCTCTGGCTGCTTATTACACTTGCTCTTCTGGTCCCAGGCCAGCAGAGTCAGGATGTTAAGATGGATGCAACTGGGACTGAATATTCTCCTTCAGGAGTCCTGCACAGCTTGTTATGGAGTTCCCACGAGTCTATCACAGGTCTGGGTCCACCAGAAACTGTGATGTTTCTGCTGTCTTCAAATAAGAGATTCTCATTCCAGGGTGCTTACATTGCCATGGAGGCTAAAATCACATCATGAGCATTTCAGAAGATGGGACTCAATATTATGACAGCTTCATAAATTCCCCCAGGGCATTCCAAGTTGACACCAAGGTGAACACACTGACAAAGGGCTATGCTACTCAAAATGGGGCTCCCAGTACACCAAGTAGACAACACCTAGATACCGAGACAAGCAACACTTCATGCCCAACCATAGACACTTGATTGCAGGGTGAAGAGGTACACATATGCACAAACACACAAACACATAGACACAGAAAGATGGAGGAGAGAAAGAGAAAGAGAGAGAGAGAGAGAGAGAGAGAGAGAGAGAGAGAGAGAGTCAGAGGGAGAAACTGAGAGAGGGAAAGGTGATAAAATGCTCTCATTGAGATGACAAATTAATGCATGCAATTGTGTCATCTTAGAGAGGACCAAGCGCAGCAGACATCAGTACCAGGCCTTGCTGCCACATATTAAGATGTGGTACAAAAACTCTCCAGCTGCTACTAGAAGCATCCAGCACACAATGTCTTTCCAGGCAAGTAAAAAAAAATAACAGCATTCTCACACTAGCCACCACTTGACAGGATCTCTCCAAATGTATGCTGGGAATTCACACACTACTGCCTCAAATCCTGAGTTATGTGATTCAGGTCACAGGCTCTGATTTTCATTTGGAGGAAGCAGAACAGTCTATGTCCCCATCTCACTCATGCCCATGTGTCAGGTTTTGCTTCAGGGAAGCATTTAGAGAAATGGTGTTGGGCAAAGGGACACCCAACCTCCCAGAAGCCTGTTTCTTAGACAAAATAAACTAAGGGTGAAATTGTGGAACCGAGACAGTCACCATGGAGTTTGAAACAGTAAATACCTGTTGTCCAAGGATCCTTCGGTTACTAAGATGAGGCGATCTCTCAGATCATTGCGTTGGGCGGTCATCACCTGGAGCTGAGTGGTCAGGCTCTCCACCTTCTGCTTCACTTGCCTCTTTGTGAGGCTTGTTGGAGTGGGTGGTGGCTCCTTGGAGGCCCCTGTGGGTAGATGAATGAACACAAGTGAACGTGCATTGTGACAAGACATAGAGAATGAACAGGTCACCCTGAGACCTGAGGAGGTATTTGAGAAAGGATGTAAGCAAGCAATTCAGTGACACCCCAAAGAATTTTGCCCTGGACTGAGATGCCCCCGGTGGGCATCTTAGGTCTCCCGTCTCTGTGACAGGAGATAGGTGTCTCAGCCAGCTGATTTTCTCTGCTCCTTTAGCACATGTTTTAGGTAACTAAGGAGAGAGCCTCCTCAGGCTTATTAACAGCTCTGCACTCTGCATTTAACTTGGCTGCAGGGTTCAAATGCAAGGTAAAAGTGACACAGTCCACAAGCCTTCAGGTCTTTAAAGATGCAAAAATATCCTGACAGGTCACTCTAAGCACATGGCAAAAATGGAGAAGCTACACAAGGACAGAATATGGTCACCATCCTCACCAAGATGCCTCAGTGACAAAGGAGGTTGCACTGAGCTGGTTGGCTGTAGATTAATGAAGACACTGAGGTTGAAGTATATTGATGACCTGCTTTTTGCTGGGCACAGTTCACTTGAACTTCCTACCCTAATGCTGGCCTTTTTGTACCCTCTCAACCCCTACCCTCCTGTAGGATTGAAAGGCAAGATCTCTCAGCACAACAGCTTTGGCCTTACTCGCTCCTGATTTCTGGGACAGACAAATTACTCTTCTGGAATCCTTGAATTTCAGGAGCCATGACAAGCAGGAAAGTCCAGTTGGTTCCCAGAGACTCCTACCTCCTGTGTCCCATTACTGGAAGATTCAGCTCAAGCCCATGTCCTGCAGGAACATCCCAATTTCCTGCCCACAACTTACTGTACCATCTTCTGGACCATTTCTTTCTTGATCGTTCACATTGGGGCTGAAGGCCAGCTTGTGTCTGCCTCTCTCTGGTTTCTCTTCCCTCTCCTTTCTCTCGACCAAATAGAGTCCTGAGTCTTCCCAACATGTTCATGACTGAACTGTAAGGGCACTGAACCAACTGTCCAAAGGCAGTTGGTGTTGCTACAGCACAGGTGAAATCAGATAACATTCTAAAGTCTCCAGGATACAATAGAATGTCCAGGCATGAGACACCCCTGATGTCATGGGGAACTGACATTGCCTCCCTGCTAACCAGATCTCCTCATAACTCTTCACAAGTCAGGTTTCCCATTCTAGGAATCTCTCCTGGGACTCAAGAGAAATGCTTCAGTACCCTTTTGTTCCATAGCCAGAGATTGCTCTCTGATTTTTTGGAAATGCCTCAGTACTTCCATGAGGGAAAGAAAGTGAGTGTTCATCTCCTATTAAAGTATATATCCGGAAGGTAACAGTATTATAGACATTGATGTGAGGTATGATTCTCCACAAGTACCTGCATCTCCTTATTATCAAGAAATGATAGACTTAATGATAATGGAAAGGACACTTTTTAAACAACTTCCTGGTATGGAGCAAAAAACAGAAATTACAGCCAGTAGATAATATGCAGCTTATTTGATTTAAATTGATGACCATGGCAGATTGCGTTAGCATGTTACATGGGATCTATAGATAATCACTACCCAGTACATCAGCTTTTAAGAGTTTCTGAAAATGCTCAATGGGTATGACCCAAAATTACATCTAAAAATCCTGTAGAGTTTGCTCTTAGTGATTTTACAGATTGTTCTTCAAAAAGACAAGGAACATATATTTTATACACAAATTCTTCACACTCCTCAAAATGGATGGTACCTTCCCCTGACTGTACAGCTCAAAGGTAAAAACTTACTATATTCCATCAGTTTGTAGCTAGAGTTTTCCTGCCTGGCCCACAGTCAGAACAAATCTCTATCACCCGCCAGTCGCACAGCCGCTCAGACCCAACCAAGTAAACACACAGAGACTTATATTGCTTACAAAATGTATGGCCATGCCAGGCTTCTTGCTAACTGTTCTTATATCTTAAACTAATTCATTTCTATAAATCTATACCTCGCCATGTGGCTCGTGGCTTACCAGCATCTTCACATGCTGCTTGTCATGGTGGCGGCTGGCAGTGTCTCTTAGTGTATTTGGTTGTTTTCATCTACAATTATTCTTTCTTAGCTGTCAAGTGTCGAGATGTCTATACTCGGAATTGGATCACTGCAGGCATGCATGAAGCCTCTCTAGCTAATCAGTTGCAGAGCACAACCTGTGTTTAGCACTGGGCATTTCCACAAAAATACAATTGTGTTTTATCTAAAACTTGACTTTGTCAAATAGTTCTTTATGGGTGTCCATGCTAGGACTCCTTTTACAACTTAAAATTGGTAATGGTCCTGCTTATACTAGCCAACACCTTCAAGAATTTTACACTTTATGGAATATTAACCATGTTACTAAAATCCCTTACTAGCCATAAGATCCAACTGTTGTAAAATGCTGTCTAATAATTAAATTGGCAAGTTTCAAAAATAAAAGGGCAATATTTCTGAACATAGGTAAAACTACACACAATACTACATTTAGCCAAGTTAACCATTAATTTTTCCACTTTAAAGTATAATTGTTTTCTGCTTCCCTTAAAGCATTTTGCCTTAAAGTATACACAGACTAAAGAAAATGTTAAGTCAAAAGATAAACTAGTCTATGGAGAGGGCCTGATAATCTAATCTTGAGGCAAGGATATGTTTATATTTTTGTGGGAAATTCATGAAGTCCTAGATGGCTTTCGATCTGACCAGGATAGCATCCCCAAGACCACCTAATAATGAAACAATTGAATGTAGACAACAAACCCATGACTGTGGGATGGAGAGTAAACCTATCTTTAATTTGGAGCAAGAGACATCAAGATGCTTTCTGATCACTGAGATTTTGGGGTGAAAACAAGGACACTTATATCACTGAATCAAGAATAATGTTTTATTTCTTGACTATATTACATGTTAACACTAACCTTCTCAATGAAAGATATATTTTGATAAGAGGAATAAAAGGCACACCTATAATTGGAAGCACTAAGATGTTGTTTTGCCATGCTAAGGTTCATTTGTAAGTTTTTATAACCAATCCCAGGAATGGTTACTGGAATATAAAGAGAGGTGTCAAATATGGCGTATATGATCTGTAAAAATACTATTACAGCAAAATATTAGCAGATACTAATCAAGAGATAGATGAAAAGATCAATACCCAAGCAAGGGTATTGGTAGAGTGAGTGTACTACTTTATTAAATCTGACTACTACTCACAGTCATGAACACTACACCAGACCTTACTTTGGGAAGCCTATATCAAAGGATTTTGCAGAGCTCTCACTGAGGCTACTTCATTTCAGGAGACACCAGGTAAACATTCCATCATTGAGATTTTAAGAAAAAATTGTAAGAAAACCTTTCCTGATAGAAGGAGCCCTAACTCTTCCTTTCTGGACATGAGAAAACAGTAGCTGACATTCTGCTCAGCAGGTATCTGACTCCTTGCACATTTTTCCTTGTTCTGACCCACTGACGTAATAACTCTGCTCCTCTGACCAGCACTATCATCTTTGTCTACACAGGGGACAATTCCACCTCAATACAGGATTTGGGAAAGCTCTGATCAGTCTGGAGGAGGCAGGAAGATCCTGAACACCCTGGATATCTACAGTTGCTAGTCTATAACCAGGAACAGTGATTTTTCATTTGATGTCTTTCTTCCACAAGACTTAGTAACAGGTCAAATGATTTTTACCTGGGAAGCACTGTGGTATAATCTTTAGTTCTTCTAGTATCAGGTCTCTTGACTAGCTGGGTAAATAACTAGGGCTTGACAGAAAATGGCTACAAAACAAGCAAGAGAAATCGAAATCAGAGTTATTTGGGTTTGTAGGAAGGCACCAAATGGCTGAAATGTCTACTGAGATTGTTCAATGTTGCTCCCTCATTCAAAATTGTTTCTTTCATGTTTCCTATAACCATGAAGCATAACAATGATGCTGGGGCAGTGTGAGTGTTAATTTTTAATTACTCTTATATTTACACAAACTAGAGTCTCCTGGGAAGAGAGAGCCTCTATGAGGAATTGTTTAGGTTAAGTTGACTTTGAGCACATCTGTTGGAGATTATAGATTGTTAATCAGATGGAGATCTCACCCTAAAGTATGCAGAACCACTTCATTGCTGAGACCTGAACTGTTTAACAGTGAAGAAGCTGGAGCATATGCAGAGGCAAGGAGGCAGCATGTCTGCATTTGTATCTCTCTGCTCTTGACTGTGGATGTGATTGACACAGTTCCTGCCTTGATATGCCCCAAAATGGACTATTACCTGGACCTGTGGGCTAAAATCAATTCTTGTCCTGCTGTGCTTGGGAAATTAATATAAAGAAGATGCTAAGAAACCACTCTGTGACACGGGTTTGCACAAGTCAGGGAAATGGGAAAGTAATTCATGACATGCTCAACAGCAGCGTATCTGTCCAAAAGCAGGAGGTCTTGTTTTTTCCTGTACCCAAAATGTGTTTCCCTATCACAGATTTATAAAGAGACACCCATTGACTCAAACATCATCACCTTGTCAACCAATGGCTCTTGGTAGTGTCTTCCCTCTCAAGTGCTGTTCTAAATTCTTTTTTTTTGTTTTATGTTTTGTTTTTTTTTTTCCGAGACAGGGTTTCTCTGTGTAGCTTTGCGCCTTTCTAGGATCTCGCTTTGGAGAACAGGCTGGCCTCAAACTCACGGAGATCAGCCTGCCTCTGCCTCCCAAGTGCTGGGATTAAAGGCATGTGCCACCACTGCCCGGCCTAAATTCTTTTCATCTATAAAATAATACAACATTAACTTCAATGTAATGTATTGTTCTACGGGTTTCCTGACTATTAAAATTTGGATATGGGGAAATGGATCTTAAATCACAGTCCTAGAGATGAATCTCAACCTTATTCTATGTCCTTCTATGGAGGTCAGGAGAAGCTCCTTAAAGGTCAGATCAGGGAAATACCTCAGCTGCCAGGTATGCCGAGTGTTAGTAATGAGTGACAATGTGTCCACTAATTACCTTAGGCCAGAGATTAACCCTAGGGCTGATG